CAGAATCACCAACAAAACAAAAAGACAAATGAGGAAAAACTGAGGTCCAGAGGGGGCATTATAAGCCAGGTCATGGGTATATTTAATTTTATCAAAAGCTCTCATCTCCCATCATTCCTTTCTTTCTTTCACATTTATTTCTCAATGAAAGATAAGTATTTCTAAGGCCAGGATCATACCTCATACTCTTTGTGTGTCCCTTCACAATATTCAGCAGAGGACTCAGACGATTTACTCAGAGAAAAGGTACTCAGATATTTGTTGCATGCAACTGAATTTGTACACCCAAGACACTTACAGGTTTCTCGAGACTCTTGTTTTAAACGTCCAACTCCTCAGCCTGTATATTACATGAGAGAAACATGTTGCGAGAGGAAGGCCATCACAGGCAGGACTGGCAGCTCATCCCGGGGGTGGGAATGGGGGTGCTACAATTTCTCCTAGCAGTTTATTCACTCAGTTTAGTTTCCCAGTGTTTTCACACTATCCCCATCATTCTCCTTCCTTTTATTTTTACTCTTTCTTCTTCCCAACCTAAGACTTAGACCCACTCGTAGCTCTCATCCTCGTCAGCATCAGCATAAGCTCTGCTAATGTCAACCCCAACTTACAACCCAATTCTGTACAATTCAACTTAAAAACATGATTAAATACTTATTTTCTGCGATACCGCACATGGAAACATAAACATGCATAAGATGATTCAGATTGTTCCTTCCAACAGCCTATAGTCTAAATACTGAGAGGGGTGTATAAAAATAATTATGAATTGATAATAAAGCAACATGAGACTTATTAGTAACACATAAAAAGAAATGCCTAACATTCTTGGGAAGAAGAGAAAATCTACATAAGAAAATGACATCTGAGCTGGTTTTTAAGATGAGTAAGAGTTTAGCAAACCCAAAAGAAGGAAAAGGGCAAATGATGGCATAAACCAAAGCATAAATTATGGTTTGGTGTTCAGTACTGCTAGAGGAAAAGAAGATGACAGTGGAGAAAAAGATAAATTGATGAATCCTGATATAAGATGTGAAAGGGTATACACACACTCCTTTGTCTATTTCTGGAATTCTCCACAAAAAATCCTTACTAGGTGTCATGTGTTTTCTTTGAAGGCCCAGTTGGTTTATGACGGTATCTGAACATGAGATGGACATCACAGAAAAAGTCTTTGATCTCATTGGACCCACAGTAGGGCAACCTGAAGGTCATTGTTCTTTGAGGGATGGTGCTCACTAAGCCCCACGGGTAGGACTCTGACACTAACAGAACATAGAGCTGGTGAGATGCGCCCACAGAGCACAGAAGAGGATTACAGATGGCAACAAAGCAGTCGTGGGCATGGCAGCCAGGCAGAAATCCCTGTGGTTCCGAAAAGAGACAGAAAGAGGAACTGAGCAGCTTACCCTCCAAAGGTAAGAGTTTGGGTCCTCTTCTGAGCAGTCCACCAAAGGCCTTGGTGCAATTGTGGAAGAACAGATGTCCAAAATGGAAGAGCTTTGGAGGAAGATGTACATTGGGCAAGGAGATGTGATCCACCCTGATAACTACAATTATGCCAAAGTTCCCCATTTTCCATTACACAGAGGGTCACAAAGGGCAGTACTTTCCTGTACTTGCTGACTCCAAGTACAACAAACTCTGAGACCTGTGTGAAATTTGCCATCGTGTAAGTGCAGAGAGGGAGAGAGAGACAGAGAAGATTTACAAAGCAAATATCATTCAATGCTTATAGCATTAAATTAAATTAAGTTGATATCTTTTTTTAATGTATTTTTGCACACCCCTCTTACACCTCTGTCATCACCATGAAGAGTTTTTCCCAAATATCTGCTGCCCCTTGACAGGGGGCAGGCCTGAGCTGAGCTGTCAGCAAGGAGTCAAGCCCAGTCAGGGCTGTGGCAGAAAGTAGAGCCACCCAGCTCATCCCAGTCCAGAGCTGCCGGCACACGGGCAAACTCTAGCTACCTGAGGAGTCAAAGCTTTGCGGCAGTGTGGTAACTGCTTGTCGCCCTGGCAGTGGTTGACGAGCACTCTGACATGAGTACTGACATGTTTTCAGTCATCACTCTCACAGAGGTCCTTTCCTTGAGTCAGTGTTTGGAGCTGAGGGTAATTCTGGATGCTCCGTAGCCCCAGGTACACTGAAAACAGTAGGGACCAGCCAAACTTTTTGACGGTGGCAGGTGGCAAGAAACCAGCAATGCTGAAGGTGGACTACAGACACCCTTTGTAGATATCAAAGCTTTTCCTGATAATATGTGAAACTTCACAGAATTAGGGTCTCAAGTTACTTACTCTGCCAAACTTAAGACCCACATTTGTCAGAAAGCCCTTCCTGCCCAGTGTCAGAAATGACGATCCCAGGGAAGTGTGGCAATAGAAACACTTTGTTTATACATGATGTAAAATAAAAGTAAAAGGTTGGTTCTTACATAAACTTCTTTCAGAAATCATAACTTTACTAGGAAGATGTAAAAGGATAATAGCATGGAGTTAATAAGCCTTCTTGAAAACATACCTATGAAAAGGCAATTATACCTCATAATATTTCCATATACTAGTAAAATCTGGCACTTGCTACCAAAATAAATAGGAATGAACATTGGCAGCTCAGATTTTGGATGGTTCCATTCCCATTTGGTGCCACCACTGACTTTGGATTCTGGCAAATGTAACTGGAGACAAGAGCAGAGAGTCAGGCAGACAGTCTACTGACTGAAGATGATGGAGGGAAGAACAGGAGCCAAGCAAGAACCAAGTCTTTACCCTACTCTCCTAACCCTACAGAGAGCTTCTGTTCAAAACCCAAAGGTTCATGTCAGTCTGGGTCCACCATTTGCCTGTGTATAAAGAAAAAAAGAATACAAGAAGCTGGTGTACATGCCATGTCTGCCTCTAAGAACTTTCATTTCACATGTTTTTTTTAAATAATAAGGAATATGACACCTGCCCTCAAACATGAATGTCACTTGGTGGACACAAATGCACATAGTAAAATGCCAGAGCAGCCACTGGAAGGTTTTCGAGCTGCTTAGACCAAGAAGACCTACCATTCAGGCAGCTTGGGAATCTCTACCCTCAATGGAAACAGAACCATTTTTTTAAAGTGCTTTCTAAGTTTTGGGGACAACCATTACAGTGATTCAGTGTTCCTCTGAAGGAGTTACTCTGAAGTTAGTCCTATACTCACTTCGCCTACAAGATTATTTTAAAAGAAGCCATTAAAAAAATCATTGCCTAAGGAACAGACTGGTCTTTGGCTAAGGGGAGATCATGTATTGCTTAAATAAAGACCTGCAGAAAAATCTACCAGTTAATTCAAAATGCATGCCTAAGATAGTGAAGAGAAATTCTATGAACACTGTAAAAGTTCTGCCCTGTGTTTACTCAATTTTAATGACCAATTCTCCTGCATATTCTTTCAACTGTTTCCTTCCAAAGGCCAAAAATGTCTTGTATTTTACAGACAGGATTTTAGCACTGTTGCCTGTCACACACATATACAGGAAAATTGTTTAAAAGCTGCAATGTTTAAAATAAAATTTATGCTTACAGTGGTAAGTATTCCTGGACTAAGAGAGTTGCAGCAGATAGACTCCAAAAATTGACTTAAGTCTGTGATACTAGAAAGACGGAAAATTTATCTAGTTTTAGCAAATGTCAAATCAGCAGCTATTGCTTTTAAGATTAATAAAAGATATAATGGTTTCCAGATAGCCTCTAAATAGAGATTACTATGAATGGAGAAGTGATTTACCAACAGCCACCACAATGAGATTTCTTTAAAGGTTACAATCATCAGTTATTTAGCTGAAACACTGCCAAGAATGCCTGGTCATTTCCTGAATAATGCATTATATTCATTGTATATTTGATCTGTATTATAACAATACAGATATTTCTAAAATAATGGAAAAAATTATCTGTTACCTTCCGATTGCTTAACATATCATTTCCATGAAGTAATTGACTCAGGACATATTACATGCTGTCACCTGAGTGTTCTTTCTGCAAGCATACCTTGTAAATAATCTATATACAGTGGGCATCACAAAACAAACTCATCAACCTTTATAGACTTTTAAGAAAAGATGTGATAGATACAGGCCAGAGTAAAGGACTTTTCTGAAGCAGTAAATTAAAATGATTAAATTCCTATATAGTTATGTAAGATAAATTTAAATTTAAGCTTTGAAATGTAATTATTAAGACAAACAACTCATCGTATTTTCTAAAATGTTGCCTATGATGTATAAATACTTTCCATATAAATTTCCAAATGCCTTTAAGTTTACTCCAGAGAGGGCTTGGAGAAGCACAAAGTACAACGTCTATCATTTTATTGTTGGATTATGCACTTCACATGATGCTACAGGCTATTTATATGAGCATGTTTATCCATATGAACTTCTTCAAGGGCACAACATAGAAGACCTTAATAAATTAAAACAAATTTCTTTGATGTTGTTGTTTCATGAATGTTTGATCAGTATGAGTAGAAGGTTTGCTTTAAAAAACCAGAGTAACGGAATAAAATATACATATACTGTGCAGCAGAGCCAGTTTACAGAAAGTGCCCATTGCATTCCTAGCAACTTTTGAGAATCGGGGTAAACAATATAGAGTCACTATGCTTACAGCCTCAGTTTTAGCCCACCATCAGGTTACTAATAGTGGCAGCAAATGTGTAACAACTGGTCTCCTTCCAGGCTCCTGAACATTCATCCAACCTCCTTGTTTTCTCACTGACAATACCATGGCCTTCCACAGACTAAAACCCATGGGAACAGAGACCATATTTTCTTTTTTTTCCGCCCATCTTTATTGTAATGAGTAGTGATAGAGTTGAGCTGACTGGAGGCCACAAAATAAAAATGAATTATTAGTCACATTCCAAAACTGAGAGAATTCTCACTTGGCACGTATGATGATGATGGTGACACAAATCAAGTATCACCTTTAGAAAGGAATATGATCCGATAGAAGGAGCACCAGTGCTCGCCTTGGCAGCACATGCACTAAAATTGGAATGATACAGAGAAGTTCACCATAGCCCCCGTGCAAGGATGACACGCAAACTCGAGAAAGAGTCCCAGACAGAAAGTCAAAGCAAAGACACAAACAAAAAACAGGATTCCAGTGTTAGATCTGTTGGCACTTAACTGTAAACTATTTCTACATCATTTCCCTCATCTGTAAAATGAAGGCCTAGTTCTATATGATGTATAATTCTGTATCTCTAAAAGGCCATGATTCTAGGAGTAATAAAAGGACGGACAGAAAAGGGAACCATTAGACTTTTCACTTTGGTAGCCACCACTACCAAGAAAAACCTATAAACTGCAAATTCCTTCAAAGAAAAATGGAAATAAAAGATGACTATCCTAAACAATGTAATACAAGTCTGGTCCCTCAAGCAACATATTTAAAAATTAATAACATTTTGCACACTGTGTGATTTATAACATTTTGCACTTATCCTTCCCTTCCATCGTGCATGATTTGGAATAAATAGAAGACAGCCTATTGAATAAGCTCTTATGTGTATAATAAATATTTACTCAGATTATATTCACATCTTTAGCCTGGGAATATTCCCTACTACATTGGCCTCTGGGACATGGACTGGTGTGTGACCAAGTGGATGTCAACATACAGAAGGGCAGAAGGGCTGTACAAGGACAGCAGAAACGTGACTTAGTTTGTTTGTGCCCTGCTGCCTTAAACTCACATCTTGCCCTAAATGTACCTCGTTGTATGTTCCTCTCAACCTTAGAATGTCAGTCTTACACTCTAGAGCCAGAGTCTGGGAACTACCGCTTGGGCTAAATCCAGTGGCAGCTGCTTGCTTTGTAAGTACAGTTTTATTAGGACTCATCCACTCCCTGTTGTTTAACATATTGTCTATGGCTGATTTCATGCTACAATGGTAACCCCCAAAGTCTAAAATATTTACTACACAGCCCTTTACAGAAAATGTTTGCCAATCCCTGCTCTAAATTCTAATTTTCTTTCTCTCATAAACATAAAAAACACAAACTCTAAGTAGCAATGGCAAAAATATGAACATGTTGACACATGCACATATGTGTATACGATCACACCTCTGGACACAGATCTGTAAACAGTAACTGCCTTGACCTCTCATTTTAATTTGAACCCTATAAGGGTTATAGTTCCCTACAAGTACCCTTTCCTACAACAGCCAAAAATATGGGTCTGTCTCCAAAGGTAGCTGTCAAGGAATAATCACATAACTAAAGAACTTAATTCCTCCCGTAGCACAGGTTGCCTGAAATTCTGCCAAGTGTCCACTGTTACTCTACACTCATCAAGGGTCTAGATACAAGGTTAGGGCAAAAGAAACCAACAGGCCCCTAAAGTCCTATGCTTTGAATAACACACCCTTAAAGTTAGAAAATCAATGACCATCACCACGTACACATTGATACACATATACATTCATATTAAAATTCTAGAAATGCCATAAATTATTGGGAATTACAGGAACATTACAAGAAAATACCTCTCTTAATTATCAGAGTGAAAAAGGCCTAAAATTTTTAAATAATTTAAGGTTAATTGCACAATGGATTTGGAGAATAAGTATATGCTTATATTTGCAGCTTCTGGGCTATAGGTATAGAGACTTGAAACATTAATACATGGATTGATTTTTTTTAATCAGTCAATAAAATCATTGCTCAAAATGCCTGCTACAGTTGGACTCTGTTTCCCTTCCTTTCTTTGGTTACTACAGACAGAAAATATTAACTCTGTCCTTTAGCAAATACTCTCATACTCCACCCATCAATAAAAATTTGCATGCATTAGCATAACTTAAATTAAACTCATGAAGCACTTTAATGTAAGTCATTTCATTCTCATTTCTCTGAAATCTTATAAGTGATAGAATATTTAGGCTGACAGATTTTTTGAAAAGAAAATAGAAATAGAAGAGGTTCATTTCACCTTCACATGGTGTCTTTCTCACGCAGAGTTCAGATTTCCATATTTGTATCTCTTTAAAGGATTTGATATGCAGGAACAGAAGAAAGGATGATGGTAAACATTTCATCTTAAAGACACCTGCAGACCACTATATTCCAGAGTGAACAGAGGCTTAAAACTTACCTTTTACTGATGTGTTTGGTGGAGGGCCTTCCATTCGCAAGTTCCATGGAGGGTCCCCCTGGTTAGCAAAGTCCCTCATTTTCAGATAGCTAATGGTAAGTCGAATGATGGACGCCTTGTCAAGCTGGCTCGTGATGGCTGCAGGAAGAGGCAACAACTTGGCCAATTCATAGAACTCAAAATTTTCTTTTCCCCTGCGGGAGCGAGCAGCATCTCGGGATTTCTCTTTTCTCAATGCTTGTAAACTGAAATCAAAGAAGTGAAAAAGTGTTGTTTAGAACATATGATTCTCTCATCAGGTAGAAACTGCTTTATTTTTATTTTCTCTTTTCCCAGCAAAAAGCTACCAAAATCTTCTTCAAAATTCCAGGGGCCATGGTAAAATGAGTCCCAGACAATTTCCACTAAAACCATAAATTCTACCTCTGGACTTATATGCCGTAAACTCAAGGGCAACGAGTAAAAGTAGTTTGCTTGTTAGGTTTTTTTTTCTTCCCCAAATTCGCCATGCATTAACATACATTCATTGTTTCTGAGACAAAACATAAGGTTTACAGATGATGCTTGATGTTTTTCAGCTATAACGAATTTATCTCAAAGACTGGGCTTATATTTACACATCTATTCTCAAGCTAAGTCTTAAGACCCTGATGGGATCTTAAACCATCAAAAAAACACATTTAAAAATTTTATTTCAATTATCATCTTGGGGAAAAAGGATGAATACAAACACAATTCACAGAATCAACAAATGAGACATTGATGTGCTTCCACCTCTCGGTAATGAACAAGACCTTCAGTCAGATAAAGAAAACATCCTATTAAAGATGAAGATTTCAATGTAATTTTATAAGTGTGCTGGTAATTAGTTGATAAGAGAATACTTTCATTCTTTTATCAGTGGACATACACAAATGAATGGATAGAGTCTCTAAAATACTAGAGGATAAAATACATTGCCCAGAAAAGTCAAACTTTCAGATAATATAAATTTAATGTTGAAAGATAAAGCTCTGCAGGTTATTAAAATTTATAAACATTATAGACATATTACTTCACAGAAGAGGCAACAGGTGGAATCCAGAATTTTTCTTTAACTATTCATGTGCATTTCTGTTTGAAGTTTGCTCACATTGCTGAAGGCAGAATTTGGCACAACTAAAGTTGCCTGTGAGCATCTGACAGAAAAATTCCACCTACTCTGAGTTGCTCCATTTTGTGTCTGGCAAATTCAAAATCAGATACTGATGATAGGTAACTGGGTAATATTTACAATTTCCAGGTACTATTAAGATCATCTGTAAGTGTCCATTTTATTGAACTCTGAAGGCATTTCAAATTTTGAATCTAGTATTCTAGTTTCCCATTATAATAATGTAAGAGAAACAAGGAAGGAAATAAGATGAGATGAACAGATCAAAATGAGATCAAAGTGTGGCTCCAGTCTCTTAGTATAATATGGACGATAAAAACATTCTGTATCACATTATAGCATATCTTATATGCTCATGGTATAAACACTGTATTCATTGCAAATACTCAAAATATCTACGTAATTTAAGTAATGCCATACTGTTCTGGTCAAATATTTGCTAGACTAATACCCCAACCAGTTTCATGTTTACTCTATTAATAAAATATTCTGCATTAGCTAACTAATGTATTTCTCAGAACTAGACAAGCTTCTGCTATCATTTTCCAAGTCACAGCAGTGTCAGGTGACAAACATTTATCTCTTGATAATTCAGGTGATAACCTCAGGCAGAAATATCCCTAATTTACAAGGAAAATTCATGTTATGCTACTTATTTCCCAATCTCTTATTTGGCCTCCATTCAATTCTATATATTATCTATTTTAGCTCGTTGAAAATTATGTCAATAAAGTGAGAGAAGCCTTAAAATCTGACAAAGAATAACCAGGATCCAGGTTAATATCTTAAGATAAAAAAATGATTCATATCCCTCCCTTTCTATAATACAAGCAATCCATCTAACACCATTTAAGTCACCTGTGCCAAAAGAACTGTCTCTTCATGTTTTCTCTACCACTTGGAGAGGACAAGGCCAGTGCTTTGCCCCCTTTGTGTTGTTATAATTGACTACTACTACAGAAGGTGGGCTGAACTTACAATTTTTTTTTTTTTTTGGCGCAGTAAGTGACTATGACGAAGCTCTAGAGCACAGGTTGCAAACTCAAGGGTGCACAGGGTTAAGGCAAGGAGTGTCAGTGAGTGAGGCGGCCTGATGGCAACCGTGGGAGCTGGAGGACAGCAGCCCAAGCCAAGGAGCAGCACGCACATTCAGCCGACTGCAGCCTGCAGAGAAGCCAGACCTGGTGTTGCCAGACTTCTAGTGTTTCTATTTCTAGAGAACAAAAACTGAATTTGTACATGGTATTTCCAATTTTATGTTATGTTTTAATTTTATGTTAGCTAATTAAAGTTTTAAAAATTATGCAAGCCCATTAAAATATGTCATTTAGTCAATAATGGAGCAGGGACTCATTTTATAATTGGGTAATAATTTGGGAGACCACTTTTGAAGGTAGTTTTAATGGATGATATATGTAACTTTCCTTTGTACATGTCACTCGAATGATCACAAATGGATTTGTTTGTTACCAGTTAATATTACTAACATTCATGCTAGGAATATTTCTATTCAACTGAAGCAACTAGAGGATTAGGTAATTATTCTGAAACTGATGTTAATGCAAGGCTTATCAGTAATCTAAGGAAAAACTAAATCTATGGGGAGGAAAGCCCAAAATCTTAGGGAGCAACCTAATAAGCTCCAACGCCTAGTAGAGGGGAGACGGCCTCCTATATCGGCCCAGGGAAAGGAAATACATGGACACAAATGTTTTTTCGTGCTTTGCCTAAACCCTGCCCTCTGACACCTGACTTTTCTAAAATAGCACTGAGCACAGCTTATTTTGTGTTCCTGCCCCATCTTGCTTTTTTTTCTCTTCACACCTCCCTCTTTTCTTTTATAATCTAACACACACTGCTACCTCACTGGAGGAATCTTCTTGGCCATAATCTCAATAACAAAGGGTTTCCATGACTCCCACGTCACATCATTATGCAGACACCATAGTTCAGAAGACTTTCAAAATGATAGCACTGTGCCTGTAATAAGGAGTAATTGGTTTTGAGGGCAACAGCAATAAAATACAGTCAAAGGATTACAGAGGTTATGGAGATGCTGACAGAATAGATGAAGCTAAAGACCTTAAGACAATGACACAGATTGTGGAGTAATCTTTTATCTTCTTTTGTGAAGTAGAGCCTAGGTATAAAAAAATCTCAAATTGAATTAAAGACTACATTAAAACCTAAAATAAGCTTTGTGTTCATACATTGTATTTTAAACTAAAAAAAATATTTATAGACTACTAAACAAAGGATGGGTTGTTTGTACATGAGTAAAAGGTTGTAGTGATGATCTCTGCTGTCCAAACTATGAATACACTTCAGAACCACAATAAGTTATTCTCTGGGCCCAAACCTCCCATCGCTCTAATGTTTTCCCACTTAGGCTCCGGGTAGCAGGAAGAAGAGACTTTCTTATCCCTCAGCAAATCAAAATTTCAACTCTCTTTGTTGAGGAGATTATCTACCTCACCAATCATTACTGCCAATAAAAGCAAACAAACAAATAAACAAAACCCAGAAATTTCAAAAGAGACACAGATATCTATATCTATCTATATCTATCTATGTCTATCTATATATCTATATCTATCTATCTATATGGAGAGATAGATAAATAAAATTTGGAAGTCCTATACAAAGTTGCATGCTTATGTATATATTTGGGGGAACTACAATAAGTGATTTTCAGATTCCCCTTAAGGGTCCTATCTCCCCAACCAAAATAGTAATGATCTAATATCTAGAATTCCCCTTATAAACCATATGAAGTTAAATTTCCCCTTTTTCCATTGATGTTGCCAGAATTAATTTATTGTAAACAAGTATCCCTGGTTTAAATAATGTTATTTAATCTATGTTCTTAAACATAGATTAACATTCTTAAAGATATTTTACAAGTTTCTAAAGTTATACCTTAAGCATAGATAACAGGCAATCAAAAAACTTACTGTCAATGACAGTGCATGATGAGTGTGAAGTGATTTTCAAAATACTTTTATGAGGACTTCTGGCCAAGATGAAGGCATAGGTAGGCAGGCTTTGCCTCCCTGCACAACCATAAGAAGGATAACAAGAAATCTAAAAACAAAAACAACCAGAACTGCCAGAAAACTGAACTATGTGGAGGTCAAACAATCAAGGATTTAAAGAAGAAACATTCATCCAGATGGGTAGGTGGGAGAGAGATGGGCAGCCAGGGCAGAGAGGACACGGTGTGGTGAGGCAGTGGCAAGGCAGCAGTGGGTGTGGCCAGTGGAACAGGCAGCCCCACATTCACCTTCTGTGGATAAAAACTGGGAAGGGCAACTGGGGAGTGAGCGATCTCAGCCACAAGGCCACACTGCACAGCCCTGGGTTCCAGTGCCTGAAAAATAAAGCGTCATAACCTATGGCTATAAAAACCAGTGAGAGTTGAGGTGGCAGAAGAAACTGCTCCTCTCTCAGGAGAGTCCATTTATAGGGCACACTGGGTCCTAGAACATACACAAACCCAAGCACTCAGGAATTAGCACCAAGGCAGCAGCTAGAAAGACACCAGTCACTTGGGGAAGGTGGGGGAAGTGACTGGAAATAGGGTGAGAGCTGAGCAAGCAGAATTATTCCCTCTCTCACTCCTACCCCACATACAGTGCCACAAAGCAGCAAAGTGGGTTGTCCCTCCTTGGCAAATACCTAAGGTTCCACCTCTTACAATGTAACAGGTGTGCTGACATGAGGAGTCAAAGGAGCTCTACGTAATACACAGAAATGCAGGGAGGCTGCCAAATTGAGGATGCAAATAAATATAGCCCAAATGAGAGAAGAGATCAAAACTCCAGAAAAAGAACTAAGTGACACAGAAATCCAAACCTATCAGATGCAGAGTCCAAAACACTAGTAATCAGGATGCTCACAGAAATGACTGAGTATGGCCACAAAATAAAGAAAGAAGTGAAGGCTATACAAAGTTAAATAAAGAGAAGTATACAGGGAATGAACAGTGAAGGGAGGAAGCCATGATTCAAATAAAGGATTTGGAACAAAAGGAAGAAATAAACATTCATCTGGAACAGACAGGAAACAAGAATTCAAAAAAAAAGAAGAAAA